AAAAGGAATGCCTATTAATTTTGGTTCAGGATTGCACTGCCAGAATAAACGAGTTATGCTATAAAAACGGATAAACAGACGTTTCCTATACCTTCAAAAGGCTAACGTTGTCTATGGTTTACTTTCTACATCTGTTTAAAAACATTAAGATTTTATACAGATATTCGGAAATAGACTAAAGGTTTAATATTAATTCTGAAGCATGTACAGATAAACACTAACTTTAAACATGCAAACTTTAAATTGACAATAAATTATGTTAAACGTGAATTTCGTTAAACATATAAATGAATTTATCTGAAGTAACAAAATTGTTAATTCGAAATCGAAGTGTGCAGCACGTACACATTGTACTGGCTGTTGAGAGTACAGAATGGGCACGTGTGCCATGAGACTAAAGATCTGAGCATAGTTACCAAGCAGCTTATGCTATTATAATTAGTTTAAAACTAAGTTTCCTATTTATTCATCAATAAAAGAAATTATAAAACAAATATTAATACGAAAGATAAATAAAATAAATCAACTTGAAACTAGAACTATTTGAATGGTATATATACCCTATTTCAAAACTTAAAACATCAATTTTGTTAAGAAAGAATAATACACAAAGCACATACACTTTGAAAAAGGAACATATACGCATAAAATTTTTTTAACTTTAGATCTAGGATGTCCCTCAAATGATATAAATTCTGAGAGGGACCACATCAATAAAAAAGAAAATATAACTGAACAATAAAATGTTATTTATGTATCTAATAACATGCAGGTAAAACTTGTTTTTTTTCTTCGGTTATGTAAAGGAAGGAGCGGACATGTTACCGTACTACCAGAATGTTAAGGTATATAGACGTGTCATGCCATCAATAATGTATAAAATATCTGACGTACTCCATGCGAGAAATGAATATTTGATACTGAAATCCATAAGTATGTGTAAATCGAAACAACTCACATACAGTCTGGGTATAAGTTCAAACAATCATCATAGATTTGGATATAATGTGTAGTACAACAAGAAAACTAGTTGTGTAGTTTATTTTAGATTTGAGAGACGGACAGACAGACAGACAGACAGACAGACCGACAGATAGACAGACAGACAGAGATGCAATATGGTGTAACCTGATCCAATGATCTTTGAAGTGCACGTCTTGTAAGACCACATTTGTAATTCTCCGATTAATCTTGCAATATAAGTGACGAACTGTCACGCGAGTCCTCAGTCTGGGGAAAGCAGCTCTTATTGGCAGAAAGGGTGGTTTCTAAGATAGGCTGCTCACTGAATCTGTGTTACATAAAGTTTAAAATTATATTTTAAGAAGGAATTATATGCTTTTTTCTTCAACATTTGTTTACATGCCGATTCACCTACCATGGAAATAATATATAAATCTAGAAGGTTGCATAAACGCAGCCATATATCATACAGTTATGGACATGCCATACATTGACATGTAAATAACTGCACGGAAACATACATCATCAACATTGCAATCTGCTCATATGTATGTACAGGCTAAACCACCCGTTCATTATCAACTCTAGGACTTAATGTCCCTCTCAAACTTACTGGCCGATCGAGCTGTTTAATGACTAGCTTATACACAATAGCGTTTGTGTGTGTGTGTGTGTGTGTGTGTGTGATTTATCGCAGCAATAACAATTTTTCAGTCATATCGCTGCGATGTTTGCATAATGGCAGTATAAAGTGATGTCTAGTACCGGGGCATCATGACAAAGACAAGTAGTATCATGTCTATATTATCTTTTTTCTGTCTATCTGTCTGACTGTCTCTCTCTATTATATATATATATATATATATATATATATATATATATATATATATATATATATATATATATATATATATATATATATATATATATATATATAGACAATAACAGACAGAAAGAGACAGAGACAAAAAGAGATAATATAGACATGATACTACATGTCTTTGGTATGATTCCCCGGTGCTAGACATCACTTTTTCTACTCTACTCTACTCTACTCTACTCTACTCTACTCTACTCTACTCTACTCTACTCTACTCTACTCTACTCTACTCTACTCTGCTCTGCTCTGCTCTGCTCTGCTGTGCTGTACTGTACTGTACTGTACTGTACTGTACTGTACTGTACTGTGCTCTACTGCACTGTACTGCACTCCACTCCACTCCACTCCATTACACGACACTATAATACAATGCAATGCAATGCCATGCAATACAATACAATACAATACAATACAATACAATACAATACAATACAATACAATACAATACAATACAATACAATACAATACAATACAATACAATACAATACAATACAATACAATAAATATATATAGAGAGAGGCAAGTTGAGAGGGAGAGAGAGAAAGACGTAGGAAAAGGAGATGTGTATTTTTCTTTTATTATTTTGGCTGCCATTTTGGAAGATTTGCAATTTATCTTTCGCAATGAATAAACTCTAATATTTTATGTTTTGCTCTTAACGACTCCTATTCAACATTACCTCATCCAACCGAAGATTGTTGTTTTTCTTTTCTTTGTAACTAAACCAAGATTGAACAAAATCGAGTGAACTATTTAACGATATCGAGTGTTTTTTGTTTTTTTTGTTTAAATATACTCAGTGCTTAACACAACTTTTGCTCCAGTCTCTCATTCGAAATACTTACATCAATCGTTGTCGGTTCCGTCTTTGGTTGTCAAGGACGTTAGACGGCAAACAATCATCACATGTTGGAGCTTGTCACATACAGGTACAATTTCATAATGAATCCACAAAGTTCAGAGTTGCTATTCCGGCAAAAATCTATCAATTAGGCATAAATGAACCAAAACTCAAGAAACGTTGCTGTGTATCTCGATGCATGACTGAGAATTATCTCAAATACATCTCATTTTTATCCGCAGGCACACATATCGTAATGTAGTATTCATTAGGCATATTGATTGAACTGCTTTCTACAGGTAAACTCAAAACAAGCTTAATCTTGACTAAGGTAATTATAGAAGGGCAAGGTAAGATAATAAGTAATAGCCATATTAGTGTGGAGGTAAGACCGGTACCTAAATGCAGTATCATCACTATATAAGTAAATTAAGAAACTCTTAAGGAATACAATATTTTCCTTTTTAAAATGGGACATTGTCATGCCTTTACGTTATATGAAGTAACTATTTCGATGTGGAAATAGTTCCAAGTTCTCAAAGAGTAATGTAAGTATACTAAATTATAACTCAGAAGACAATTAATTTTAGCATCATTTCCTTACTTGATTTTCTTAAGTTATAAATGATCACACGTTTCGAAGAAAAAGTATAACGGAAGCATGACGTTATCAAATTATTTTTCGAAAGTCAAATTGACAAGAAATTCTTAGTATGGCTGGTCACATATAAGTCACTAAGACTTATCACAAAGTCGTAAATCAATTTTATTCGCCTAGAATTAAAAACAAATGGTGTTTCTACATACTGTTAGATCTTGTCACTTGTGTCAGATAATAGAACAGTCCTGTCAGAAAATACATAAGGTTCATCTACAAGCTGTTCCTGCATTTGAGGAATCATTTAAGAGAATAATAGTAAGCTCAAGTCATACAACCAACGTTTGTTGACCATAATGTTTTCATCCAAAAGATTTGCACAAGACAATTCCTTGAGGAATATTAAAACTAAAACCACAGTAGAATCTTTGATAAACGTTTTGGTATTCCCAAATCTGTAAATTTGAACAAGGGTCAATATTATTATCTGGAATTTTGTAGCAAAGTATGAACGATTTATGTAAAGAGCAGTCAAAAGCTTCTGTTTATCACTCTGATTGACCAGATTAGAGATTTCTCCAAATTTGGAAGAAAATTATTCGGTCCTACTGCTTTAATACAGGAAATATAAGTCTTGAAAAGCAGTCTTTTCTTCAAATATCTATGTATAAAATTATGGTCAACCACAGTTAGGACCTTAACATTTAATCTGTAAAGACTGTTTTTCCTATATTATTACATCTAAAAGTAGCCTATTTCTGCTTGTATCAATAAACATAGCCTTTTTCTGTTTGACCGCTCCGGTGGCCGAGTAGTTAGAGCGTCCGCCTCAAATGCGGAAGGTCGTGGGTTCTATCTCCAGTACTAACAGCTTTATCGCTTGGCGCTCAGCATAAAGACGCTAGTGTTAGGACATGTTGGCCTGGTGTCAGGATAAAGTAACTGGGTGGGACATCATGCTACATGTCTGCAGCATGATGCCCCAGTGCTAGATATCACTATAAACTGCCACACTGCAGACATCGAATCAATATAACAGAATGTTAATGGTACGTCAAAAATCATAATCACATCGCATATTTCTGTTTGTATTTATAATTTCTAATTGCATCTATTCTCAAACTGTTTAGTTTACTCACGGTACTAATGATATGGAAGAACATTAATCAGTAAAATGGTTGTTGAATATAGAATAGAGTACATGTATGGACTGGCCCAGATAGGTTGGCAATGAAAGTTTACATAGGTTTACTATTGGGATTGACTTAGCACCCTGAGTCAGGTAGGAGTTAAAGTGACACAAGTAATAATATATGGCAAGAATTTTTTCTCTCTTGTTTGGATATGTGTATGATGAAAAATGTATAGTGATTCGGAGTCCATTCAGCAAACAAAGCTTCAGAAGCAAGGCGGGAGGTGGGGTGGGGAGAAACAACGGCAAAATCTAAATGACACCATTTCACTGTAAAATCTAGGTGTGCGTGATTTAGATTTTTAGCGTAGCTTTTACTATTGTTCAGTCATATGGCTACATTTTTCTGCAGTATGACAGTTTATAGTGATGTCCAGCACTGGGGCATCACACCGCAGTCATGTGATATAATGTCCCATGCAGTCACATTATCCTGACACCAGGCCAACCAGTCCTAACATTAACCTCTTAATGCTGAGCGCCAAGCCAGGCAACTGTTAGCACCATTTTTTAAATATCTTTTGTATGACTCGGCCGGGGTTAGAACCCGCGACCTCCCGCATCCGAGGCGGACGCTCTAACCCTCTAACAACTAGGACACCAAAGTAACGACCTTAATCTGTAAATAAGATAAAACCTCTGTTAAATTTGCATATATTTAGAAATAAAAAGTAATGGTATTGTATAAGAAATAAATATTCACGCTGGAAAACTTAAGTTCTCGTCAATAATGTTAAGCTTTAACAGTAGTAAGAACAAATTATACTATTGTTTTGAAAACATTTTTACTCTACCCTCTTTGCACTTTATTTTCACTGCATTATTAACCCGAATCAACAGGAGCTAACGGTAACCCATACAAAAAATTTGCAAGTTATCGCGAGAACTACTGCATGATATTTTTTTTAATGATATGAAAATCAAAGATGAATTCAATTTTCACAAATGCTTTAATTACCTAAAACAACAGTAAAAAATAATAAAAGACGACATTGTTGTTAATGTTATGGCTTAAGTTTTAGGCATTAAGCGGAGCGTTTTTAATTAGGACACGTTATGGAACAATTAGGACAAGTTATGAACCAATTAAGACACGTTATGGAGCAGAACCTTCACTGATGATAATAGCAAGGACATTTATACATTTAGTGCTTAACCTCTAGTAGACTAGTTTACTAAAGACCTTGCATTTGAATCCCTTACATTGTTGGTGTACAAAGTGTTATGGGTTACATATTTTATCAGTATGGTCTGATATCAAGACAGTTAGAAATTTACCATGAGACGGTTTCCGCGGTCGAAAGTAAGTTTTCTTAGCGACTTGATATCATTATATACTCAGTCAGTAACAAACGATGTAACGAATTTACCCAATGTTAACCTAAACGACCTCTTAGAACATTATTGTCAATCAATTAACAGTGGAAGCGTAGCCGGTAAATGTTGAAGGAAGTCATGCCAATATGACGTCGTCTGCGATGTGTAGTCACGCTGATCTGGATTGGAAAAATAAAACTTAAAATTCAGTATGTGCATGGTATTTTGTTTTAACCAATTACAAATAATGGCACTTATAACAGATCATTTCTAATTGGTTCAGTTTCATCGTGTTATGTATGTTTCTAACGAATAAGTATTTTCAGTTACCAGATTACACATGACCCATTTCGACCAATGAAAAAGCAATAAACTAGTCAAGATATGATTATACACAGTTCTAAAATTCACTGTAACTTACTCATGTGTTAAATTCAATATATAATAGTCACTAGAAACACCAGTCTTTAAAACCACTGGCTTTTTATATTTAGGACCGTAATGTTAGATTTTGTATTGCTCTTAACAGAAAATGTACTGTATAAAGGAATATGAAACAACGTTATCAAGCGTAACTTACGAGATACAAAAAAATGTCTAAAAATTCCAGGAAAACAGTTACACGAAATCGTAAACAGAAGGTAGTATCAGTATAAGGGTTGATACGAATTATTTCCAAGAAGCATTAGATTAAATGAGGTTATTATTATTATCTTTTAAAATGACTGAGTTACTTAGTTCATGCAGTGAAACGTATATAAATTTCCCTGTAAAACAATGAGGAGCTGAGTGAACAATATAATCTCTACATTCGGTTTTGAAGTATAGATGAATTACACATATCGTGTAGTGATGTACAATGTGTATTAACCTTAGATGGGGATGAGAGCTTCTTTGTATCGGTTGATATTAATAGACGTAATATAACTTATGTCCAGGTTTTATTCCTGTATAAAGTAGTGTCAGTAAAAATCGAATAATGCTTTTGAATATCACCAAAACACAACGTGTCCTAATTAATAATAATTACCAGCTAGCCAATTGTAATTGTATCATGTCCTATCATGTATCATGTCCTATCATATAATCATGTAATTGTAGCATGTCCTAATTGATTGACTTAGTGATTCATTGTTTTTTCTTTTATGTTTGGTGAATTTTAAACAGAGAAAAACTTTGTTTGTTTAAAAAATGGTAGCCACCAGAATTATTAATTTGCATACAACCAATCAGAAATCAGATAGCAGTTTCCAGGCAACCTGAAACAAATTGAACCATTGTAGAATCATCATACCGACCGACCACTATTATAATACCTGTTAACAAATCTCTCTACAGAGCAAAATGGAGGAGTTGTAAATTATTACTTTCATTCAAACTTGGCCTTCATTAACAAATAAAATTATGTTACATGATAGAATGGCACTTAGCATAACGGCATTGACCGATTTAAAGATTAATTTCTGATCAACAGCAGAGAGAGAGAGAGAGAGAGAGAGAGAGAGAGAGAGAGAGAGAGAGAGAGAGAGAGAGAGAGAGAGAGAGAGAGAGAGAGAGAGAGAGAGAGAGAGAGAGAGAGAGAGAGAGAGAGAGAGAGTTTTGGCAGGCTATGCATACCGAAAGATGAGGATACTCAGACCTACTTTTTGAAGGAAATAATCAGTTTAGACTTCCAGTTTGATTTATCTGGTGAAATGTTTACTCCTTCATTTGACATATATTTGGCTGACCTTTGCTTTCTTCTTAAAACACGTTCAGCTTTCTTGATGAATCATTTCAAATCTTTAGCTGGTTTTATTCCTTAAATATCTTTTATCAACATTGATGTAACTTACGCTTTTTAGGAGATGCGGTCAGCCAAAATGCTTCATCTATACATTGTTTATGACACAATATCATCAACTAAAATGTGATCTGTACCAAGCATAGACTAAGCCCGTTGATTCGGGACCTATCTGATAGCTGGCTTACTGTGACCCTAACATATGTATTAGAACTGTTGGGCATATGTCTACTTAATAAACTTTAACTTTCAGAGAATATTGTGCGGACTATCTCTTTTTCTCTGTCTCTTTCTCTCTCTGTCTCTGTCAGTCTGTCGGTCTGTCTCTCTTCATACTATTTCAATGATTATTTAAATATACGTTATCTATATGTTCCAGGATGACTTCAGTACCGTCATTCACCGTGTTTATTTTTTTCTTCTTTATTTTGCTGTTTCTGCATTACCGAAATATCCAGGAGCTGCAATTTCCAACATATTTTCCTTGTAAACGATGCAACCAAATTTTAGCGTGTAATTTCCTTTACCCGTGAATCCTTGAATTCATATTTGTGTGTACCAAATAAATTACAAAGCACCTGACCAATTCAATTGCTGAAACTAGTAATGAAAATACATATTGTAGCTTGCAAATATGCTACACATAATTAAATGTTATAATTAATGGGAGCAGTGGACAGGGTTAAAATTAATTTATTATAAAAATAAGGCTTCGATTCCTACAGGTATAAACAAAAGAAATTCAAAGGGTAAGGCCAACCAGACTGATATAAAAATAATGAAGAAAGAAAAAATGAAATATAAAGTGCCATTGTTCATCATGTATATTAAAATATATATTAGCCTTCCAAATACGACGTCAGATGGTGGTCTTCGCAGAAGATTGTTGGGTGCGTGCAATACAAATCCAAGCAAGGTAAAATGTCTGCCTACATGCGTTTAAACGACAAGGTATTTATTTTCTTGTCATAAAGGCAAAATGTGATATCGATATTTGCAATAATGATTCTCATTTGAAGAGTTTGTATGTCGTGTAGCTAGCTATGGACGTATGAAGCCTTTTTGTCAGATAATAAACCCCTTCCCCTTATCTTTGAACACATCTCCTTAAGCACGCATCTATCTGCTTACTTGCTTGTAATAAATTATAGATCTAACATACCACTAGTTTTCCTCTCTGGAATTCCTGGTCTTGGAACATTTTGGATTTCATTATTGAGATACATCAAGACCGTTAGCACATCACCACTATTCTAGGCTAATGTTATATCAACATATGAAATATTGGAATTCATTCGGAACACAGCTCAAATTTATTTGGAATACTCTATGCTTCTGGACTTGTGATATAACTTTTTTGACATACTAAGATTTAATTTGCAATACTGAAAGCTCCTTGTAAACGTTCACTTTGTACTGGACAAAACTATTTCTTGAAATTTTACTAAAATTGTTGTTGGGTTTGTGGGTGGGTGGGCGGGCAGGCATGCATGCATACATGTATGTATGTATGTATGTATGTATGTATGTATGTATGTATGTATGTATGTATGTATGTATGTATGTATGTATGTATGTATGTATGTATGTATGCATGTGTATGTATGCATATGTATGTATGTATGTATGTATGTATGTATGTATGTATGTATGTATGTATGTATGTATGTATGTATGTATGTATGTATGTATGTATGTATGTATGTATGTATGTATGTATGTATGTATGTATGTATGTATGCATATGTATGTATGTATGTATGTATGTATGTATGTATGTATGTATGTATGTATGTATGTATGTATGTATGTATGTATGTATGTATGTATGTATGTTTGTATGTATGTATGTAAATTTAAAAAATGAGAAAAATAAAAATTCCCAACATTTTATTCTTAAGAACACCTTGATGTAAAGTTATCACCTGCATGGAAAGTAACGTTTGCAAATTACTGTAAATAATACGTTTTGGTCAGAATTCATTTTATCGAATATGGCGAGAAAAATGTAATCGTGAATTTAAAAATATTATGTCCAACAATGATATAAAAGTTTCATGAGAGAGAGAGAGAGAAAGAGAGAGAGAGAGAGAGAGAGAGAGAGAGAGAGAGAGAGAGAGAGAGAGAGAGAGAGAGAGAGAGAGAGAGAGAGAGAGAGAGAGAGAGAGACGGTATTCAGTAATTGTCTAGAAACGGAGATTATATCCTTAAAACTTTTGAAGGATAAGATATCATTGTTAAACATACCATCAGAAAATATAACATGTTAGAAACTTTACAGAAAGGTATAGAACGATTTAAAAGCAAAATGAACGTGCCGGTTTGACAGTAACCCACTTCAACCACATTTATCTCAAAAGCAGATGCGACTATTGATTTGATCTCATTAGATATCCAATATGTTCGTGAAGCTCGGTTTTAATAACGAAAACAAGCCTTTGTTCAAAAATTATCCTTAGGTACTATATTTATAATAATTGATGTTATATCATTTAATTGTTTTCTATG